AGAAGGATTATGTGAAATTTTATTTGTTTACCAAAAGATGTCTCTCAGTTGTCTCTCTTGAATGGAAGAAATTCACACTGTCTAAAACACAAGCTATAGCAGTCTCTCAAATATCGTCTAAAGTTACTGTTAAACTATTACTATTATATTCAAATGTGTTGTCATACAAGAAAAACCAATATCATTCATTACTTTGCTTTACTACCAATATTTTGTCTGGCATACTATTTAACAGACGGTATACAGTCTGTTAAACTATAGTTTATAAAACATATTTAAGAAAATTGTGATTCATAGAATGTACCTGTGATTCATAGTTTCTATATCAATCGAGGCCCAAAACTGTGAACATGGAAAAAGCTTAGCGATATGCATCATTGAATTGACGAGGTGTTTCTTTTCTGACTCCATCTGCGCGTGTCTTTATTTTGTTGATCGAGTGAAAACTTTATAATTTTCTTATTCTTTATCACACTTTCGTTGACATCGACTATCAGAAAGCTACGTCGTTTTCATAGACTAATATGGGGGATTTTGCGGGTAAATGTTTACTGTTTGTTATGGCTATATTATTACCTCCAGTGGCTGTTTGGTTAGCACGTGATAAACTTTGTAGCTGTACGGTTTGTCTTAATGTTGTTTTAACATTACTTGGATGGGTATGTAATGATTAGTACTATTCCATTTAAAATTTCCTCTATAAGATTTGTCTTAGAAGTTGTTATATAAGTATGTTTCGGGTGTGTGTTTCTGTATGACCATGATTTAATGGAAGCAATCAATCAAAAATAACCTGGCTGAGAAACGTTCTAAAACTCGACTAGCAGTCAAAGAACGAGGCAAATCAGTAATCGCTAAATAGTTACAATTAAAGAAAGAATGAAAATATTCTCAGTGTTAAGGTCAAAAAGTAATCTTTAAATAGCCAAAATAACAATTATTAGTCTGTTAATAGACAATTACGAGACTGTTAGTTGACTATTCTCTTTCATGGGTCCACGTAATTGTTTCAGACACCTAATTGTAAGACTTCATCAACTATCGGTTGATATATCTAAAATTCAATGATTTCTAATTCTTGAAAACTTCCCTTTTCTGTAACTGATAGTTCAAAAGGAATGGATAATTAAAACTTAGTATTTTGGTTATAGCTGTTTTTCATTCAAAAATAATTGTTTTTTTCTGCAAAAATTGTGTGTTAAATGCTCCATAAAAAAGTACGATAAATATTGCATGTGAAAAGTTCTATAGAAAGAGAAGACAAAATTTCATTGTACTCAGAAATATTTCAATAAAGTGATCCTTTGAGTTGGTTATTTTGGAGCTTGTCGGAACTTTTCGTATAACTATCCGCTTTTACATGTTTATTATAACCATTCACTATGTTTCTTTGTAGAGCGTTTTTTAACGCACATTGTTTACAAAAAAGAATTATTATCTATGGTCTAATGAAAAACAGTTGTGACTAAAATACTGATTCCTCTTGTATTTCTTTTCAAAAACATATTTTGTATTTATTATTCTTAAACTTGTTCTTTTAGATACCCGGTGTGATACATGCATTCATTGTCATCTGTTGCTGTTCCGAATACAATGAAGTTTAGGACGTTGGTGTTGTGATTTACGAAAAAAGGCGACAAAGTACCAGTTGTGCAAAAAAATATATCATTTTTTTGTTACTTTGAAATCGAATATAAAAGCGAATAAAAATCACTTAAAGTACCTTTTCTGTCATTCTCAAACTTTATATAATGACAATGCTTTCGAAATTGCATGTGTGGTCGTTCTTCCCTTTGACTTCGACCGATGACGACATCGAATCAACACGATTTTCGGTCTGTGGATGATGCTATCGTCAAAGATAGACGAGTACAAGTAATACTTCCGTACAAAATCTAATGATGATTTGAGAACTTACAGGATAGCGGTAGCTGATCATGAGGAATCAAAATATACCCATTAGTAATACATGCGCGGGACCAAGATTCTAGGTCACACACACAATAGATGAGCAAAAAAGAAAAAGCAATATAAATTACTTGTAGTGCACAGATGATGACCTTTTATGTTTGTATAAGAATATTGTACAAATGTACATGAAGAAAAAAAAAAAGAAAAACGATGTTTTTCGTTTCTCTTTTCTGATGTAAAAACCCAAGTCAACTTTCGCGCCTCAGTCGCGGCGCGGTCTCGATCCCTGTTAAATCCCGCATATTGCGGCGCAATCGCTAAAAATTCTTGTATTCGCATCGCGATCGCTCTGGACTCTTAAACTCGCGCCGAGATCTTGGCCTAATCTTATTTTAAAAAAAATCTCTTTTTAAGATTCGCTATACGATTAATGGTCGTGACGCGATCGCTATACTGTCGCTATGTCGCGGCGTGATCGCTATAGATTCGTGATCTCGCGACAGGACTTGAAAAGTTGATAAATTTTCAAAAAACCAAGTCAATATTTCTTGGCGTGATCGCTGTCTTATCGCTATATCGCGGCACGATTCGCGATATGGTGAGTCACGTCGAGACAATCACAGATATATAAACAGTAGTATTTGCGTAGTCGCATCGCGAGTCGCGATTTTTATTGCTGAGTTGTGGTCTAAATAGAGGAATTTTAAAACGTCGCGGCGAGAGTTTTGGTTATTCTGTGTTGTACCTCTAAACTTATATAACACACACATAGTGAGAAAAAGAAAAGAACAGGCCACATGTATGTGTATTGTGCTCATGGTTACGTTGTTCTCTTCTTCTTTTATCGTTAATCTATTGTATACACAGCGTGTATGTTTTCTTTTGTTATCGCAGTGTTATGATCACTTTATCGAGTAATATATTGCAGCCATACACTGCTTTTTTCAATTTTTTATTTAATATATAACTTTTAAATATTGAAAAATATTTAATCTCAAATCAAATATAACTAAAACTGTAGGAAGTACACAGCAATTTCAGTGTGTGGAAACAAAAAAATAAGCCCTTTCATTTTTACTACATTTGTTACAAAAGTCGAGCCGTTTTTCTCCTAACAGTTTTGAAAGTGAAAAATTGGGTTACCTTTGTCAGAAAATGCACAAAATCTAAGGGATTCGCCTGTGTAGGTTCAATTAGCATGTAAACCGTGTTAAAAGGTCTCAAAATAAATGTACTAAAGTGAGAAATGCGCCAAATGGTTGATTATCGTCTCTGTATGAGTTTCCTCTGTGTAATATCGCTTTGTTGTTGGTGACGTACAGGATGTAGCGAAGATCAGTTTGGTCCTGTTTGACACACAGAGGATAGCGGCATAGTTCCAGAGCACCTCATTCACAGAATGCTAGATTAGCCTCGGCTAGCAACGAACTGTTCATAGCATTAGTATTTCTCGGATACACATCCTCTGTAAATACAAGCGTGATGTTTTATCACATATAGCAAACGTTTTCTTACGGTAAAACCCATAGACGAACAATACGATATCAATCTATCTCACGTATATTCTGAGATCTAATTTCAGTCGCATTGCGGACCAGAATTGAAAAATATAGGTGGATACCGTTAGATCAACAGTTGATGATAATTCTGAAGCATTCACTTTCGAATTCGATTTTTCAAAATACCTTCTGGCTTAGCCACGCTTCAAAAAAACATTTAGTTCAGCTTTGTAACAATAGAAAAGGCGAAAGGACTTCTTCACTTTCCACCAGATATACTGTTCTGAAATAACTGTGTACTTGTTATGTGCATCATGTTCCGAAGAGTAAGCCGATAAAACATAGTACACTTAAGTGCTTTTACTAAAAAAAAATTGTATTAAAAAACAGCGACTTTTTCGTGAGAAAAATTAAAAGACTATTAAATGTTGTTGTTGGTGTTTTTAGTTAAAACGGTCACTTGTGTTTCAAATAATCATGTACTAATAACTAGCACAAGAACATAATAAGATTCATTCGCATTGACCATAAATGACGAATTTCAAATGAATCTTTGTGCTCGTTAAGATTTAGCCAATTTCTCAGCCATCAGTAATACCACCTACAGATGTGCTTTGTGTCTAGGAGACGTTAAAAAACAATCTGGCAGCAACCAAAGTAGCTTTCAAACTATCTTAGTAACTAAAACAGCCACTGTATGAGTCCAAAAAAAAGTAGCGAATGCATTTTAAATCGCGCTGTAACACCGGGATTTGCGCCGCGACAAATAGGGAGTCGCGCTGATCCCCGTCGCGTAAGCAAGAGTCGCGACGCGGCAATGCTAGTGTACGTAGTTCCATGCAGGATCACATCGCGAGAATAGCAAACATATATCCCATTCAGTAGTATATCGCGACAAAATAGCTATCGCTAAAACCGTGTCTTATTTCGTGGCTCTTATAGCAATCGCAGGGCGACTGCAACGCGAAAGTTGACTTGGAAAGACAGACACATTTACATGACCAGAATGACCTCGGGAGCAAGACAGAATTAAAGCTTCAAAGTATGGAAATCCGATTGCCCATATAAAAAAATGGTTATCACAAAATTTGGTTAATCCTGAAGACGTTAATACTTGCAGATGGTGCTACCATAACGGTGCGATAAGAGAACATATTTATTTATGTTGAAATATTCACTAGCTTAAGTTTCTTATTATCTCCTTTATTTTTTCTTATTTCTTATTGTCTAGTTACTCTGTAAGTGCTAGAAAAATTTTCATAATACTAAAACATGTAATGAAACGTTGAATATTCAATTTATTATTGAGCAATAAAAAAATCGGGACTTAAGTCAGGGAAGTACAGATTAAGTATACCAGTATTATGCGACATTATTGTGAACAATTGTTGTCTGCTTACAACTATTAATACATTCCAATTATGAAAATATAAAAATCTACGCACGTATAGTTGTACTGTTTCACTAGTTTCAGACACAACATAAGACGATCAACAATGTTGCTGATATTTCCATAGAATTTTTTTCCACTGTACTATATTTTATTACAAGGAAAAATCAGCGCATTCGTTTCTCATACGAATCTAATATCTATCGTTTTTTCTTCTCTTTGCTTTTTGGTGGCTGCGATGCTCCATTACCGCCACCCACTTTTAATGAATCTGGCGTATTAATAGGAGACGGCTGTGATTGTTGAATGGAAACAAATTCATGGCCTTGTAGCGGATTTAAAAGACCATCCGTGATTAGTTCTTGACGAATTTGTTGTAAACGAGTTAATTTTGTTGAACATTCTGAAGTTAAGACGCCATTAAGTTTTAGAAAACGAAAATCAAATGCAACAGCCTAGAATATATTAAAACTCGTAAGTATCTTTGATAAACAAAAGAGTTGACGCATACAATGTCTGACAAGTACGGTTCTATTGAGCTAATTTGATCCATTTCAAATAAACCACATGGAAAAGATGATTCTATAAAAAGAAGTATTTTTAAAATTATTCATCTGTATAAGTAAGGTCGTTTACCTTTGACTGTATTTATGATAGCAATTGCATCGGTTAATGTTAATCCATTTTCAATTGATACAAAGTGACAATTATTTATTTTCACTTCATCTGATAAATTTTCTTGCACTAAATTAGTTTGATTTGTTGTTGTTGTTATGTAACAACGAGTAGAAATGCGATCACATAACGAGAGTATTGATGATTTGTCCTGAATATCCATATTATCCTTCCACAAAAGAGAATAAATTGAACAATGAGAAAACATACTGCTTTTCTAAACGGATCCATGATCAAAATAACTCGTGGATGCGCCATGATTAATTCTGAATAAAAATCGACCATTTCATCAGCAGATCTTAATTGGCCAACAGCAGTCTCATACTTGCCACGAGTCTAAAATTTACACATCATTAATTCATACAAATAAAGTTGATTTCATGGATATGCAAAAAAACAACATCAAATAACAGTAGAGCAAAAAAACAAAATGAAGCGGTTTTCAACCTTTTGATCGCCTTTCTTTTCTTTTGATTTTTCAATATATAGTACTTCGGGGTAATTAGAGACACTCTTTGAAATTTTCATCCTTTTTCTGCTGAACATTTTTCTACACGCTCATGTAAAAATCTATTGAAAATCTCCGGCCAATTTTGAACCTGATTCAAAATGCGAGGAGCTCCATCAAAGTGCCTCTAATTACCCCCTACGGGGTAATTTGAGGCACGTCACGTGTACGCTTGAGGGT